CCATATTGTCCCCTGACCCTCCCCAGACCATTTTTTGGAGTAATGTATATATAAAGGAAGCATCATCGATAATAACCCTATGGGGGGTCAGGAAATGGGTCAGTCGACATCGGGGGAAGCTCCAATCGATAGATCTCGTCAAAATACATTGAGATAAAAACTGGTCCGGGAGGGTTTAGCCACTCCCTAGCCCGCAAATCAGGTTTATATTTTTCCCGGGGGGAATTTTTTCTGACAAAAGGTAATATTTTTCTGATTATTTTTCGGCAAAAAAATATACCAAATTTAGTTAGTTTTTATAGCCAAAAAAGAAATTTTTCTGATCGTTTTGGGAAAAAAATATTACGTTTTAGATTTATCCATTATAATTTAAACCAAACAAAATAATGCAACAAAGAGCAACGGGTCGAGACACAAACTAAACGCTCATTTTTTTCCCATGGATTTTGTTATTTTTCTTGTAATAAAATAGAAAGTTTACTTTTCACGTACGTTCAAGTCGCGATGTACGCGACGAGAACATCATCTCCTCTCAACTCCGAACTCATTGCGACTCGCTGACTGTTTACTCGGCGCTGTATTCTTACACTCAACTAGATTATCATAAACACGACAGGCAATATAACTTATAAGACAGAAGAAGAAGACGAAAAAACAACATTGAAACCAACGAACAAAGATGATTTTCGCTTGGTAAATTTTCATTTTCTACCGAAAGGCGAGTGAAACGCACGAACTAGCGAAAAATGGGGGAGAATAAAAGCAAATAATTGAACTAAAAAAACACACACACTCATACACAGAACTAACATGTGCAAGAAAGTGCATACGGCGACTATGTGAAAATGTCTTGAGTCTCAAAATGAGAAAAAAGAACCGAATTGCACTTCGTGCAATACAAATATTATTTAATCGCAATGCTATCACACAAATCATTCGCGATGCACATTTGTACAATCATTTTTAACCAGCAGGCGATTTATATTTTTCAAGTGGTTTTATTTCTTTGGTTCGTGGTTGTTTTGGCTTTTGGAAAAGCAAAAGTAAATATATCGTCGTTTGAGTTTCATTTGGTTGTTGTTGTTGTCGACGTTGTTCGGATATTATGCACTTAAATTATGGCCAAGTAATTGACGTTTTGATATCGTTGATGAATTGTTTCCACTCGAACATGCCGCAGTTTAACATGCATTTCGGCTCGAGTAATTCGGTTGAAGCAGTCAGAGAGGAAAAAAAATCGACTCTGATTAGAAGTAGATTGTCTATGGTCGAGTAATAGGCGAAAATAAATTATGATGTATCTGACATTGGGTCATGACTAATAAATTGTGTGTGTGTCTTACGGTTATTGGAATTTCTGCAAATGCACTCTTACATAAGCGATTGCATTACCAACTTAATGATAATGTTCAATTTGGTGGATGAGCGAATTCATATAATTTTCCAAATAATTGCTATAAACTGTCCAAGATTTAATAGAAGGAATATGTTTTGACTGGTTGCAATATGGTTTCGCTTAATCGAAAACAGAAATTGATAGAAAAATGGCAAACGATTTCCCAATCCCAATAGATTATAATCGATACATGATCGTTTATGATCGTCGCCGTTGACAAGAATAAAAAAAATGAAAAGAAAAAAAAGAGAAACCTAGCAGTTATAGGTTGCAGTTGCTAATGAAGATACACCGAAGCGAAAACATTTGCAACGGATATATGCTTACTTACGTTTGTAATAATTTTTCAAAGAGATGATTTCATGGCAATGCACGCGCGCGCGCGCACGCCTCTGCCACTTGTGCAAAAATGCGCATTCATTCACGTCGCCTAGACGTCGTCGTCGATGTTGTGTGTTTGTTTCACATAAAATCCATGACATCATTTCAGCAAATAAATTCGTATTTAATTTCAAACATAAGCCCAACCGAAATCCATTCTCAATCATAAGAACACAGCGATCTGTTTGCCTTTCCAAAGTGCGAAATCGAAAGACACTTCAGAATCAAGGTAAACGGCTTGCAATTATTTCCAAGTTCTTTTTTCGTGTGAACCGAAATGCTTTGATTTGATTTACGCAAATTGACCCTTTTTCGCCATACGCAAAATGTGTATTTAGCTTGTGTATTTGCTAAGCTCCCCCCCAAGTGAGAGACATGTTGGATTAAAGAATGGCGAGATTTTTCGTTTTTTTTTTTGCAAAATTCCACGAAAAATGAATGGAATACAAAGAGTCGCACTTAAGTAGACAGCAACAAATGTGAAACCACCAAAAATGTGATCATGCCAAATCTAATCACGCACGCATCTTGTGGCTTGCGAAAAGGGACGACATAATGTAAAATTCTATGTCAAAATGCAGAAAATGAAACGTGACGTGGAACAAATAAGCGTAAAATCGTGTTTGAAATGGCATTTTCGGATGAATTTGTTGCAAATGGCTTTATCTTGTCAAAGTGCACACACAGACGGAGCCGGACAATAATCACCACACGAACCTCTCTTCCTTCTCGGCGTGTGTCTCTCATCGTCGTTACGTTAATCGTCAGTCCATTCGCTTTCTCATCTTTTATAACGATGCCAAAAATTTGTCATCCATTTAATTTCACATGTATTGAAACGCGCTGGAGACAATCAAAGCGGTTGCTTAATCACACCATTAATATGAACAAATGTGACTCGAACAAACAGTGACGGGTGTAGTGAATAAATCGGCATTTTCTGTTCGCGTTTAATCCTCTCTCTCTCTCTCTCCCGCTTGCGAAATTGGTCATTTTCAAATATTGCGTTCCTAAACGGCCAATTACGCTTCGCTTATTCCTCATTAGATAAATTTCTATTGGGATTCCAGTCGATTTTATGTGAAGAGAAAAGTACGCCCAGGCTATTCTTTTCTCCTATCTCTCTCTCTTTCATCCACTCGACAAATTGCACCTAATTGCCAATGTGTCTACTTTGTTGTTCGTAGTGCTTGATCGCGGTGTCGCATCGCGCGCACACACTGTGTGCAATGTTGTGTTTGCACTTATCGTTTGTGTGTACATATGATCGTAAAAGCGGCCCATCAAGGTTCTACATGCAATTATGTCGTTTGAATTTGCATAAAACAAATTGGTCAATTCTATTGGATTGCATGAACGAGAATAGCCCAGCGAACGATGACTGCGTGATACTTGGAATTGTTCTTTCAACAAAACGAAACAACCACGAACAAAAAACGAACGAAACGCAATGCTTTTTGCGTAGATGTGTGAATCGAGATGCAATCCAAATTAAAGCGGCCGTATAAAATGAGAGCTCAAAATAGACAAAAGACTCTCTCTTCTCCGTCTCTCTATGGCATAAATCCCATAAAACAGCACGATATTCCATTCGCATTATACAATCGTAATGACCTTTAATTGGTTTATGCAGAATATGTTCATCTCTTTCGCATTTTCTTCGATTGCTGTGCAGATGCATGAGCATTGCATCACATCGATGGCGGCGACTATGCGAGCGATCATCTCGAACGGCACTCAAGCGCACATCGCAAAACGAAGTAACTTATGAAGAAAAATAATAGAAGAATTGCTTTTACTCAAAGCAAATATTCCGATAAACACTCTGAAATTATAAAGTCGGAATGTGTTTTGAGCGATGTGAAATGAAATTCAATTCATCTTCAGCGTCGATGGTGCAGAAAAGATACGTGTGCAAAGAACGATCTTGCTTCGAGTGCATTGAATAGCAGCAGCAGAACACTTGAACGGGTGGAATTGCCATTAAATATACCCAACCGTGTATGGGTTAGCGAAATTCCGCGTATAGCCACTCTCATTCGTTCGCTCTCCACTGGAATATTATGTCGAATCATCGATTGATTAATAGCGTGTGCGGTGTTTTGCGACTGGTCTCTCAGCCGGGAAGAATAGAAATACATTTAGCGTCTCGTAATTGCTATTGTAATAAGATGCTTTAACTCACACCAACGAACATTGGCGGATGGGCGAGCGAACGAGCGAGCGAACGATCAATACTCTGCGAACATTTGAAGCCGCATCGATCAACGGACCAAATTCAGCTAAAATCAACGAGAAAAAAAGCAGCACTTAACAGCAGCGGCAGCAGCAACTGCGGTGACGTTTCCGTTTGCCCGCATTTGCCTCATGTGTGCCGAATGTAATGATTGCTATTATCTATTTCATTGTTTGTGTGTTTTCATTCCACGTTTCAGTCCGGCCAATATATCAAATCCCATGCCACACTCTACGTTCATTATATTCACTCTCTATCCTATGCGTGTCGGACGGTGTGAATACACAAACCTAATACACATCGAGCCTTGCCGCTGCTCTCGTATTCTGCACGCGATCACACCGCGCTCACAATGGGTTATAGTGTGAGTAAGACTGAGTGAGACTTAGCTATTTCCACCTGTGTGACGTCATCGCGTCATTTGAGCGAGAAACAAAATATAAACGACGATTCCACACAAAATCTTTCTTCGTTATTTTCCACGGAGCCGATGATTTTTCTGGGTCTAATCGATGTGCTGTAACGAGTACTACAAAAATTACCAGGGTTTGAAGGCTGCCAGACAGATTCTGAAAAATCGAAAAAACTAAAAAAAAAGTGTGGAGAAAACCCATATATTTTTGTTACTCGCTCAAACGATGTGGTTAAGTCAGACAGGTGGAAATGGCATCATTCAGAATTTAGATGGAATCGAAAGTCCAATGCAACTTTCATTTGATGTGGCGTGGAATCGTCGATATATCGTATAGTACGATTCATATTAGCTCAACTAAGGTAATATGAATAGAGCGAACAGACGAAACAGATAACCGCAACAACAAAACAACAGGCAGCAGCGCCAACGTTTACGTATACTCCAGCGTGTTGTTGGCATTTTTTTCTGTATTCATCTCTCTCTCACTCTCTGGAAGTGTAGCGAAACCGCGCGCAAACGAGAGTATTGTTGTATGGTTTTTCGCAGCGAAAAAAAGCTGAAATCGACAGTAGAGTACAGGTATTCGAACAGTGAGCAGCACCAAAACGTGTGCGCTGTTGAACCGTTGCTGTTGAGCAACGAATTTTATACACGACATATACAAAAATATACAGTGAAGCGAGAGTCACCAGCTCCATTTGATTTGGTTAGTTTTGATTTGACGTTTTTTTTCTTTCTCTTAGATTTCTTCGTTTAGATTCGTTGTTTGTGTGAATGATAAATGGTTTGGTATTTGAAGTGGTTTGATAGTGTAATTGGTCAAATCAACGACGAGATTGAAGAGTCTAATTCAATTAAAAGTTCTACATCAATGAAAAGTGCTAAATTACCATGTTCAACAATTAATCAAGACATCACGAAACTTCAAAGCAAGAAAAACGTCACATGAAATTCCCATACACGAGTTCATATTGTGATAGTGTGAAAACATTTGTTTTGTGATAAAAAGTGAATTTGGAAATGAAATAAAAAAATATTAGAAATTGTCTATTCCAAAATGGAAACAGATAAAAATCGAGCCGAAAAATTAAAATTACAAATCAGTTTATCAGTATGCAGTGATGAGTGTGGAGCACTTTCGAAATCATGATATTTATTTGGTCGCTGTGCCATCGAAATTCATTTAAAAAACATAAAAAAATTAACTTTCGATCGAACAATTTTAATCGCACAGAGAAATACCCATTAAAATTGATGTGTATTTTTCATTGTTTCACTTCGTTTGCGAAGATGAAGCGCTGGAATTGTTGAAGCTATTCAAGCGCTTGAACAATTCATACTCGCCGAAAGTTCGTCATTGTATTTCAAATGTGATGATGTGATGAAGTGAAAAAGCTAACACACATTAGAAACGTATTGTAATATTTGCTCCGTATTTGCGAGCAAACAAGAGCACTCAAATCTACATAACAATTCGAAATGAAAACAAACAATCTCCAAAAGCCACACACAATCAAGCATACGAGAGCGAACTGCTGCACTACCTTTTACAAAGAGATGAAACGAGCGGACGCAAACGAGAAGACAATGAAACGAAAATATACTATGCGGCTAAAATGTGTGTTTCGTAATAATTTGCCGAAAAAAATACACAACACACTCACGAGTATATCATATGGTTTTTCTTATTTTCATTGCAATGAAATTCGACGAAAGCCTAACCGATCGGTGAGTGCTCGCTTTTCTCTGTGTGTGTCTGTGTGTACCGAAATGATTATGGCATATTGCATAAGAAGCGAGAGCGAACATAACAGCGACCTAAAGCGATATATGCCAACACATTTTATGCAACAAAGAAGTTGGATGAATGAACGAACGTACGAGTAACGATCATAAACACTCTCTTCATGCGCATGGTGTGTACTCATTTCGGTGACCATTTATACAACAACATTCGCCTGGCAATATGGTTTTTCCACAATGGAAACAATTGTGTCCGCTTCGCACAACAAATTCATGCTGGCTGTTTTTTGTTTTGTTTTGCTGTGTGGTACAATATTTGGTTTCTCACTAAAAATATGTCCCTTTGAGCAAAAATTATGGGCTTCATCTCCAGGTTAATTCTCGCAGTCTCTTTTCTTCTCTCTCTCTCTCCCTCTCCTTCTCTCTCTCTCTCTCTCTCTCTCTCTCTCTCTCTCTCTTTCTCTCTCTCTCTGTGTGTGTGTGTGTTTGTGGCGAATTTCGTTGTCATGCACTCGTGAAATATTCACCTGATGCGTCCAGTTTCAATTACACGCGTATTGTTATTGTTGGTTATGCTTCAATGATTTCGAGGCTCTACCTTGAGACTCATTCTGATGTGTTTTTCTTTGTTTGTTTGTTCGTTTCTTGTCTCTCAGTCCGAGTTTGAATGTACAAGATTTTTATGATATTTGAACGCATGATCAAATACCATAAAAACAAACGAATCAAATGGAATCCAGTGGATTTTCCAACTAATTTATTGTATTTTTATGGTCATTTTAAAGTGATTCAAATGCAGCGTGGATCCTGTAACAAGAGATAACAGCGAACATTTAGTGTGATTGCAATAAAATTAAAAAAAAAAAATAAATACGAACGGTTGCCGCCGACTGCGATTCCAACAAAAAAAAAAACGAAACGATTCAGTGTGTTATTTCGATAAACAAATCTGCGGAATAAAACGAAAGACCAGAGAAAATTAAAAAGCGGGCGTAAATAAATATCGAAAATTCTCAGAGAAGTGTTACTAATTTACAATCGAAATTTGTGAACGTTTCATCTTCGAAGCCCGGTATTGAAGTTTTGCAAAACCAACACATCGAGATAATGAGTCATTAACATCGAGACGTTTTTTTGATTTTGGTTTTCTCCACAAAAGACAGAAAAGGTAAGGTCATTCGCTATTTTAACATTTTTAGATTTATAACGCCAACGTTCGCTTCTTGCCGATGAAGTGAGTGGTTTTTTTGTATGTGTCTGTATTGTCGGTTTGACATTTCTCGCCGTTTGACGCTAATTCATTTCAAGAAAAATATGCAAATTTTTTTCGAAATTTTTTCGTTTGCTTTGCATCTTCTCCTCTCATCTCATCCTTTGCGTGTGTGTGTGCACAATGTGTAGATTAGATTATATTATTTGAACGTTCCGAATTCACATTAGTTCATATAAAAATTGAAGCAAACCAAGCACATATGCCCAATAAACAGCTTTAGCTGTTTCATTCGTTGCTTCAATGCATCGTGTGGTCGTCGTTTTGGTTGGCTTTGTTTTACATGAACGCGAATTATGCGAACACTGGCTCCGTATGTGTGCCTGTTGTTGGCACAACAAATAATACCTCGAACCGTTGAACTGTGCGCAACAACAGAGACCCACGCAAAACAACACACTCAAAACGAAATCATAATGTGAACGCACCGAAAAAAGGTGATCATATTTTTTTCCCGGGCTTGTGTGAGGCAAAAACACCGAGAGGAAAGAAAAGAAACAAAGTTTATAATACCACATTTTAATAAAGCAATCGAGTTCATTCTTGTAATTTTTCCGTGGGTTTTAAGTTTAAAACGTATTCAATGCTATTTACGCAAACGCGCTGGAACAAAATGTGGTTTTCAGCGCATTGAATTCGCGCGCGAACGAATGAGAGGCGAATACGCAATTTTGCAAAATGACTAGATTCATACTACAAAGGTCAGTAGCTTACCTACACTCCACTCCACCAACGAACAGTCGGAGTGTGCCTTTGTCTTTTTGTTATATTCAATTAAAAGCGACAGCAACACAAGGAGAGGAGATAGAGAGGAAAAAACACAACCACTCACGGCACCATTGAAATGTTCTTGGTGCTTGACTTTGCAGGAGAGTCGAAAAAAACCATTAAACGATTTTTGACCCACAGCTAGAAAAGCACGCACAAGTGGGATTCTGATTGTCATTTTCAACACCAACCGTTTGCTCTTCACGTGGAGTATTTGTTTTCGTGTGCTTAATGTCCGAGCCGAAATGACGCTGACCATTGCTCAAAACTTATGACAGTCGTCAGATTTGAATTCATTCGAAATCCACACACGCATTCCCCAAATGGCAATCTACTCAAATATTCGATTTCAACTCAATGTGCCGTTAGACACGCGAATGATTCAAAAGGGAAATAAAAACAAATCTATTGCTTCAAATCAATTTAAAACGCTGGAAAATTTTCCGATAAAATTTGAATTCTGGCGGAACTGTAAACTGAATAGAATCGTGTAATTCCGGTACAAAAGCGCTGGTAAAAGCCCATTTCGCATCTCTTTTATTTTCTTTTCTTTCTTTCTCATTTTATTGAATCGATTCAGTTCAATTGAATTCGTTAAATGCATTGTATACGATGAAAAGAAGCTGAAAAAAGTGGCCAAACAAAAGCTGTGAATTGTTCGGCCAGTTTTATGCAAATTATAGTGAATAATTCCACAATGTTAACACAAATTTTCCATGAAATTTGGTCCAGTTCATTGTTCGCTGTTTACTGTAAAACTGAATTATACATTGCGCCGTTAAAATTGATGTGAACACTTCTTCTTTAGCCGTATTGCAAAATCGATTTTCAACTGTCGCATTCCGCGTTTTCTTGCTCCAGTGTTAACAGTTAAATGTACGAGCACCGCTAATGATTGAATTATTCGCTCCTCCATTAAATTATCTGTTTTAATGCGGCAAAACTCATAGAATAATTACCATGTTGATGGAAAATTGAAAAAAAAGGCCGACACGGACAAAGACCAGAAATGGTGACCAAACAACGGCAAAATATGAGAAAAACAGCAATTTTCTAACCGATTGCTCAACACTAGTCAGATTCCGATTACGCGATTCTTTCATACGCTGTAAACACACAAATAATGTATATATTGATGACCGTTGCGCACAACAGCATCACACGGTTACGCTTTCTTTCTGACAACTAGGTTGCTACCTGAAAGAAGTCGTTTCACTCATCACATCCCATTGAAGATGCGCATCTTTTGACGACGGAACGGAAGAATAAAACACAACCGCACACTTGAAAACACGTCCAATTCTCAGTCTAAGTAGCCTCATAACAAGTTACAACACTTTTCAAGAATTAATTTGTATGGAGATACAAAACGATGCTCGGTGTAACGATGTTTTGGTCTGTGTTGAGAACAACACTTGAAAACGTTTTAATAAGCCTTTGGTCATTTCGTGCGCACGATAATAGCTTAAGCTGAACGTATGCCGCATTTGAACTACAATAAAATATGTTTTATTTTAAAAGCCGACAAAATGAGATTTTTTTTACTGCCATCGCTGTCTAAGCCCTTATGTGTAGCTACTTTAAGAACGCTGAAATTTAGGTAATAAAATCATTTTGAAAACGTCTTTATGAACGAAGAAAACATTAAATCAAACCGGATCAATCAAAATTCCTTTCACAAAGCCACAGCAAAAGACTAGCCACATAAGACGCGATGCGGACCCAAATGGAAATTATTAAAAATATCTCCGTTTTGCATCTTTATGCGCTAATCGTATTAATTTTCATGCTATTTATACATTTTATTGCGTCGTTTACACTTTTGCGTAGCCGATCAATTATTATTATGGATACACACCATCATCATTTATCACAAAAATCCTTTCTCTTTTTCTTTACGTTTTAAATCGTTTTTCACCAGCGATGTAAACTACCAGAACAAAAAGCGTATTTCACAGCGTCAGACGATGCTGATGTGTGCAAAGTGCACCAAAACCTCATCGAAATAGCACATTGATCATCATCGTTTTTCTTGAGGTCTGGTTGCTGGTTGCGACAATTGATGTGCGGTTTTCGGTTTTCATAATATTTTGTAATCAATCAACTCAAAATAAGTTGTTTTTCTTTTATACCAACGGAAAGACGTTGACCAAAGAAACGAAGATGAAAACCGCATGTTTGATTTGTACATTTATCGTTTTTGGTTTTGGCATCTTTCAAATTGTTCTTTGCAAACAGCGTAAAGAAGAGATTGGGTTCAAGGTTTAAGCCGTTTAAAAATGTAATTAAGATGAGTGCAATGAATTGAGCTGCGAATCGCAAAAAGGAACGAAAAGCAAACACAAACACACACAAACTGGTTTTCTGATTAGCATTTGTGCTTTTTGAGCTTGTCTCTGATGAGAGAGTTCAGTATGGAATTGCAAATATGCCTAAACTTTACTTAAACTCATTTGAGTTCAAGTGATTAAAATGTCGCACGCTCTTCATGTGTCGGCTTTGGCTTGTAACCCCAAATGTAAAACATCACCAAACAAAATTTATCTCAAAATGGGATTTACAATTTTTTACTGTCAAAATCGCGCGGAACTTTAGAATAAGAATAAAAACTGTCAGAGAGTGGAATTATAAGTAGTTTTAATTCAATTTGTGGTCTTTGGATCGAAACTTTTGTTGGAAATGCTCTACACACTCAATATTATAGCGACATCTATTATTAAAATAGCTTGTAGTAAATGCATTTATAGCATTTCCCTGTAGTTGCGATGTTTCCTATTAAGTTCCCTTGTAGTACTGACACATTCATGTTTGACACTTGTTAACTACATACCACAGGGGAATTTAATAGGTAACATCGCAACTACAGTGAAATGCTATGAATGCGTTTACTACAAGCTATTTTAATAATAGATGTCGCTATAATATTGAGTGTGTATATATGAATAAACAATTAGTTCAAAAAACGCTTTGAAATAATTTTAAAAGCATATTAACCAACAACAAAATCATATAAACTAACGATGAAAAGATTGGTTTAATTAATTACGTAGAATTGATGAATGATCAATCGGTTTTCGTGACTAACTCATGTGGCTTCAATTGAATCGTCTTTTATTTTTTGTACATCCATATTACCAAAAGGAGATATTTTTTTTCTTCGTATTAGAAAAGGAAGTTTTTGTATTTTATCAATGATTCTCTCAAATTTCAATCTACACAAAAACTGTATAAATTCAACCCAATTTTTTCTTGTTTCTGGCACGTGTATTGAATATGTCCAATGTACAATGTGCATATCTTATAAGCTACCAAAGAAAATCAGATGCACGTTATCTGTGTAATTTCAATATGATTTAGAACACGCAAGAAATTCGACTATAAAAATGATCGCTTGGAATTATGAAACCGTAGTCAGTTTTGATTTTGATACAGTGACTTTTAACAATGGCTTTGTATACTTGTCTGTTGGCGATTTGCCATCTAATTTCGAATTTTGGTACAATTTTGTCGAATGAGGTGCAATTCGATCGTATTGAATTATTAAATTCAACATATTCCGAAGGAATCTACAATGTGTGAATGTTCAGAGTTACTAAAACCAATCGCACCACGTACGTTGTGAATTTGGAATATGACCTTTTCGTCGACTATGACAAAAATTTTGAAATGGAAGTGAAGTTCTATTACAATCGATTAAATAAAAACCAATATAATTTGTCTCCAATACGGGTTCCTCGAAGCTCTTACTGTGCTACAATGAAGAAATTTTATAAAATGATTATAACTTCTGCAACGAAAAATGTCACCAAAATTGGGCGTTGGAGTTCTACCAATATCATAATAGTGTTTAGTAACATAATTATGTTTTGGAAAAACGGTGAAAAAGATAAAAACGATATAAGGAAGATAAACTCAAGAAATTAATCAACATTTTGTACATTTATTTGCATAATGTGGCTAAAATAAATTTTCAATTTGTCTGAAAGTTGTATCAATTCGATATTTGTGATCATTTGGATGTCTCAGAAATGTCCTTTTATGTGTCTGTACACATAAACAACACCACAAATAATGTAAAAAATCGCCACGTATCTTACATGCGATCTAAAAATGAAATATATATTCAAATA